AGTGTTTGACCATCATTTGGAGCAGATAATGAGATTCAAAGACTTTTATCAGCTGATTGAAACCCAGCAATAGAATTCTTTCTGGTTGACAGCACGTGGTGTTCAGTGTTTGAACACCATTTGGTGCAGATATGTGTGGTTCAAATACCTCCCTAAGCTATTGAAACCTAGCATTTGATTTTAAGTTGTTATCTTGCAGTGACAGACCACAGATGAGTAACGAAGAAGGCTCACTTACCTGTACTGAGAAACGTTCCGCTAATGCCTACCTACTGGCATCGCTAGCTCATAATTCCAACTATTCGTGTTTGCAAGATTGTTTGGACTGGTTGCTTGCGCAACACGAGCAGAGCAATAGGTATTTTATCCGTCCATTTATTCATATATCCCATCCTTTCCCATCCTATCCCATTACTCCTTCCATCCACTTAATCCCATGACTTAGCATACATTGTATTTGGTATTTAGGATCAACCCTGGTGCTGCTCTGGACTTTGTATGGACCTGTTTTCACATTCCAGCCAGTCACACATTCTTCCATTTGTCAAATCCCATCCCATAACTCCTTCCATCCACTTATTCCCATCCCTTGTATTCCTGTATTCAGGATCAACCCAGGTGCTGCTCTGGACTTTGTATGGACCTGTTTTCACATTCCTCGGCTCTGGCAGGGAAGAGAGCAGAAGTCCACCGCTGTTGGCACAAACACATCCGAAACGGTAAGACACGATTATGGAATACTCCAGGAATTCTCTGTTGTTCAGGGTTAGCCTCGATTATGTCCAGAATATGCATGAGTTCCAATGAATATCCATGGAATTCCAAAGTGTCTGTATTGTTGAAGTTGTACTTTCTTTACTTTACCGTTGGTATTTGTGAATATTTAGACACTCATACGAGGCTTACCCTGGTAAATGAGTCTGTAATCAAGGAACACATAAGTAATTTGGAACGCGCATGGTCTATATAATATTTTTTCGTAAGTCTGTCCCTATATTGTATGTTTAGTAATCGCTTCGTTTTGCGTTATTCCAGGCTGAATACGAAGACCCTGTACTATCTGTCACGCCGACACAGGCATGTCACGTCACGCGGCTTGTACTAGCAGAGGCAGATGCTGTGATACGGAACTTGTGCCGAAAGAAAGGTATTTTGCCCAAAAAATAACGACAAACAAGACGCTATCGTAAACGAAAATATAATGAAATAACAACAACAGCATCAAAGGATTTCTGTTTGAAAAAATATTACCGCCATTTGCATTGCTACGCGGCCACCCCAGACAAAAAACGCAACGTGCACTTTGAAATAGACTGCCGTCAATCAAACACGTTGATGTCATTTACACGCGTTTGGATCGGCCCGGATACGCAAGGTGAGTGTGGCTCATAATACTTGTTAACAATCGACAAGTTTTGGCGCCTTTTGAATCGCACACGCGTGTAAATGACGTTAACGTATTTTTCTAAATCTTATACTGATGGGATTACTGTGGATTTGGCGGGAACTTTCCCGCCAAAACGCGCGCTCGTCTTTTTATTTCTGTCACGAGAAAGCATGTTTATTTACTAATATATCGATATGCATTTGTTAGGTGTTGCGTTTGAGGATTTTGATAAATATAACAGTCAATCTAACCAGGATGGATCAGCTGTCATGGCTTCTCTAAAGTAAGTGGATAAGATTTAAATTTTTAACGGTCTTTTGCTTACATACAGCTATTTCAAAAAAGGTTGGTGAAGGTTTTGTTGCGAAATATTTTGAGAAAGTTTCGAGAGCCCATATTTTTGGAAGGCACAAACTTCAATACCTTAATTTTACAGAATTTTATAGAATCTGCTGGCTTAGCCTCACTTTTTAAATAGCAAAAAAAGGCACAAACTAGAGTAAAAATACAAGCATTCACTGGATTCAAGGCTAAGCCGCACATTCTACAAATTATGATGTCTTTAAGAGGTGTGAAGGCGATGTCATAGCCGCCATTTTGGTTGACTTTGAGAAAAATTTGGTCTTGGTGTCTTTTGTCGTGTCAACCAACATGGCGTCCATGTCTTCTATTCTTCTATTAATTTATTAATTTATTACCTTTCGCTAATTACATTCACATCGCCTATCTTGAATTTCCGGTGTACAACATGCAACAAAACTTTATCAGCCTTTTATGAAATAGCTGTATATTAATATTTTTTTTCTGCTTCAGTCTCGAGGCAAATGAGCTTATAGCAGACGTCATAAGACACCGAATGCCTCTTTTACTGCTGTGTTGTCATGGCAATGACAGCCATCTTAAGGCGACTGTGGATTACCTCATCAAGACCACAAGGTATTCTAATGATATATTTACTTCAATGAGTGACTAATATGAATTATGAGTAAGGGTCTACACCATCATCATCATCACCATCATCATCATCACCATCATCATCACCATCATCAGCACTACGATGATCATTCATCATCACCATCACCAACACTACCATTATCATCATCATCACCACGATCATCAGCACTTCTATCATCATCATTCATCATCAACACTACCATCATCATCATCATCACCATTATCATCACCACGATCATCAGCACTTCTATCATCATCATTCATCATCAACACTACCATCATCATCACCATCGTCATCACCATCATCAACACTTCTAATATCATCATTCATCTTCAACAATACCATCATCATCATCATCAACACCATCATATGGTACCCTTTATCAGCATCATCTTCCATGGTTATGTCCATACTAATATACTAGCTTGTTTATTCCTAGATGGCCATCCTGGTTGAAGAGTCAGTGTCTTGCCCATATATACCTGGCTCATCCTCGTGTAGTCGTGTGGCTCCAAGATCATAAGTCTCTGTTTACATCAGGTGTATTTACGAAGGCCACTCACTGTCAGGTACGTCAAGTGGACAGACAGACACGGTGATATTACAGAGCTCCCCAAAAAAGATTTCAATCCTAAAAGTGTTTGTATTACATTCCATAGGCACATGCCCTTGAAAACATTGCGTTTTATTTTTCTTTTTCTTAGGATTATTGCTGTGATATTATAACTTAATACTGTATATATCATATTTAGGAATTACAAGGAATTATGTATTTATTTATATGTATTAATATCTATTTTAGTAATATATTTTGTAATTCTTTCTGTTAGGACCCTAGTGAAAACCACTTTGTGATCTAGGCTTCCTCTATTATTATTATTATTATTATTATTATTATTATTATTATTATTATTATTACAATGTCATGGAAACACTTTGATTGACGTCCGCCAACATTCTATATTATCGCGACAGCAATATAAAACAGTTTTCCGTTTTAGATACTCTGATCTACACACGCGGGATGCTGAGAGAATGCTAGAGAAGCGTAGAAAACAACGATTAGCGATTAACAATTTTACCAAAAAAACTTCCTATCTTTCTCCCTCTTTCTGTCCGTCTGTCTGTCTGTCTGTCTGTCTGTCTGCCTCTACTTTTCTCTCGTTCCTTCTGTTTGACCCTTTTTTGATAATACGTTTCTAGCTGGATGCTCTGTGTCATCGAGTGCTTACTATCCTGGCTGACTGCAAACCTGGTCGAGAATACGAAGAAAGCGCCAACAGTTCGAGTCTGCTGTGCAGAAGTATTGCAGCAACACATCCCATGCTACTTTTACGGTATGTCTTATACATGCATCAAGAGTTTCGCGCAAGTGCTCTAAGCGCATGCTCAAGGGGTCAAAAAGTGGGATCTTGGCGTAAAACTTGCTGTAATTTAATTGTATTTTTCTTCTTTTTTTACATCATATAATCCCAGTTTTCGACCCCTTGACCTGCGATGGTACGCCACAACCGCTCACTCGTTTTTCAGAACTGTCAATGCAAATACCTGACTTAGGCTCCCTGTGTTTGTTTATAATTTTTTTTTCTTTTTTTCTTTCTTTCAGACATTTACCAATGATCGCCTGCCTGTTACGAGGTCGTGTTCATCTGACGTCAAAAGAATTCTCCAATCAGCAGCATCTTCTTCTCTTCTCTCACGTGTTGGGGATTCTAGATCTTGTTCGACCCCACGTGTTTATTGAAGACAAGGTATAATGAATGGCGCTTTTATTCTGCCACAGGTAGCCCCGCTCAGAAATAAAGTGAACGATGCGTAGCGAGATTTTCTGAACTGGGTTACCTTTGCTTCAATATTACTTGCTGTTTTATATCAAAGATCTAAAACTATTGTGTTTTACTCATGAGTTATTAATGAGCATAATAATACTCGGTAGTATATATAAAGAAATAGAAATTTCGCGCGCGTGCTGTGCGCAGTTATAAAGCACGCGGGGATTGACAGAACACGAAAGAAGTGTTAAGAAAAGTCTCGACACTTCTCGAGTGTTCTGCCAATGCCCAAATGCTTCATAACTCCACACAGCACAGCAAGCAAGCTTTTTTTAATTTCTTTTATAAAATATAAATTACAATAACCGTTATTTTAGATAGGAGTGACGCAACTGAATGTGCGCGCGTGTGCTGTGTGCTCTCATAGAGCACACGCTCCCAACCAATCAAAACGCGAGATTTATAACAGTCATTTTATAATTAATGATGGAGTTTGATTTTCTTCATGTTTTTGTTCTAGTGTATCGAAGATGGGCTTGAGGAGACATTGTTTGTTTACTTCGAACTCGTTCAGGTAAAATCCGCCATTTTGTTTTTTTTTATTTCTGTCTACCTGTCTGTCTATCCGTCTGTCGGTCTGTCTGTCTGTCTGTCTGTCAGTGTCTGTCTGTCTGTCTGTCAGTGTCTGTCTGTCTGTCTGTCTCTCTCTTTTCATTGTTTACCTATTAGTATTATTATTTTACAGTCGCCTTGTTTGGGGTTCAAAGAGGTTGCCAGTGTCCTTTCCAAGTTTACCGAGTTCTTATATCATTACTGTACAAATAAACCTGAAAAATCCTTGGCTCTACTGCAAAGCAAATCTGCCTTACTCAAGTAAGTACGTTATCCAGGGGCAGAACGATCTATTCGGTGCAAGGTATCGCTCACCTAGCTGCTGTTATTCACGAAGGAAAAAGAAAAAAACAATCGAAGCACAGGAGAGAACCGATACTCTAATCTACTATCGTATGTTGAATTAGTGTTACACTCGTCTCCTATCTCTGTGGTCTTTGGTTTAAGCCGCTTAATAAACCTAATCCACTGTTTTGCCATTTCAGACCACACGCCATTCCCTAGAGTATTATTTCTTTGTTTAAATAGAGTGAAACTTCCTTTGCAGAGGGTAAACTCTAAATAGTTTACAATACTAATAAACTCGTGGCCCTCGACGGTTTAACGGCTGCTCATGGAAAGACACATGAATATGGATACGACTCAATCAAAGAATCTTATTCTCTAGAGATTAGCACGTGGTCTGAAATAGGAAAACCATTACCCCCGAGTGGATTAGGTCCATTCCTAGATTCGATATCACATGTGAGCAGAGCTTGTAAGGTCACTCTCTTGATTCAAGGATTTTTCTCCGGTTTTTCTCTCTCCTTAAAACTTGACAACTGAACAAGCTGATTCTATTCTTTACACAGCTACAGTACTTCAAGTTTTCAGATCTATATTCTTTGCAATTCCTACCATTTTTCTTTCAGCGATTTGTTGTATGATTTTCCTGACCTGCCATCTCTCAAGTGTTTGGTCAGTGCTCTATCGGTTCCAAAAGCATCTGCTCCAATGTCGAGTACCGCTGTATCGTTACCTGCAGGCTCGTCTAAGTTTCGTACAATGATTATGCCGCTGGAAATCTCGACATGGACGCCTGCGCAACTGGCGCCAGCAGTTCAGCAGCTGTCTCCATGGAAACCCTCACAAGGTAAGCACGACAAGGAATCAGGACGAGAATCCCTATTGTTATGGTTTCACTTGACGTCATTTCCTGTCTCGTGCGGAATGTTCATCAGCTGAATCGCAGTTTTCAATAGGATTCTTTCTGTCTGACAGCATTTGGAGCAGATAATGAGATTCAAAGACTTTTATCAGCTGAGTGAAACCCAGCAATTCTGTCTGGCTGACAGCACATGGTGGTCAGTGTTTAACCATCATTTGGAGCAGATGATGAGATTCAAAGACTTTTATCAGCTGA